CCATGCTTTGCAAATTTATTTTTTTTTGGGGGGGGGGGGGGGGGGGGGCGCATGCCCACCACGCCCCCGTCTGAATCTGCCAAGACCAGTTAAATTTTTGCTGAAAGGGATGATCCTCAGGTCAGCTAATAATAGATGAACTTGATGTAAATACAAAGCCAAACAAAAAGGAAAAACCAAATAAAACAAAGTCTTCATTAAGTCATTTCCATTTAGTATTAGATAAGGGTATAAACCTTTCAGTACAATTTGTACCTATTTGTTTTTCTATTACCTGTTGCAAAAGTAGACTTATTTAGGCCTGAACCATTGTGGAGTTTGTCATTGTTTGTGATTAGGTAACACTGTCAAGACAGATCTGTTTATGAACATTTTATTTGGTTTGTACACGTGCAGGTATACACTTCATTGTGTATATACTTTAACACTTTATTCTATAATATTCTTTTTTAAATACCTTTAGAGAACGTTAGTTATAATGTCATGGTTTAGAATAACAGTTGACTTCTTTTTATCACATTGGTTGGTGAACTTGAACATTTAAAATAATTATGATTTGTTGAATATTTTCTTTTTATTTAAATAAAATGAACCAATAAAATGATAGACATTTAAAAAGACAGTTCCTGGTTTCAATTAGAATATTAGCTTCAATTCATCCCTATGTTCAAATATAATTTTTAATGTATTTCCGTATTTTATTGTTACCTTAGAAATAAGTGGTAAGGGTAATCCAGTATTATGTAAAAGTTGGGCTTAATTCACTTTTAATTTGAATTATGCAAAACACATAACTTGTACTGTCAGCACATAGCTATTTAGGTAGGATATATAAAACAATAGATTATTGTTCTTGTTGATACTTTAAAAAGACAACAAATTGAACAATTATCTATTTATTTAAAATAATAGATTTTCTGTTTGAACTCAATGTTTTCAATCAATAAATGGATATTGTATAAGCCCTGTAACCATTTCATATTTGGTTTTTGCAGTAATTGACAGCATGCCCTCTTTTTTCCAGGTTAGGGTCTTTTTAATCAATAATAGATTAAAAACATATTCACATGGATTTTGAATAAATGTTTATGGCATATTTCATCAAAAGTAATAGTAAGTGTGTCGATCTATTTTAGATTTGTTGTAGGAATGTAGGATAATTAAATTAGGTAGATGACATTATTGAATGACAATATTTATAGATTCTTTGTACCATTTACAGCCACTTTTAGTATATTTAAATGTTTATTAAGTGCAATTATTTATAGATTACCTGATTCTGATGACTATATGTGCTGAAGTGATTTTCATAAATTAGCATATTTATATATGTATTATAAAATGATCATCTTTGAAGGTCAAGTTTTCCTAGTTATATTTTAACACATTATGGTGTTGAACATCTTTTTTGTCTTTTTCACAATTGGATAGATTTATTATGGTGATGTAAGTTACATTTATTTTTTATACACCCATTTACGGGATGTATTATGGTATACGGTTGTCCGTCTGTCCGTCCGTCTGTCATCAACATGTCTGACAATAACTCAAAAACACTTTAACCAATTTTCATGAAACTTTGATGAATTGTTTACATCTATTGACGTAAGCTACCTTTCCATTTTCATAAATTTTAGATTTTTCATATCTGAGTTATGGAATTTTATTCATTAAAATGGGGGAATTTTCCAGTTTTCTGACAATAACTGAAAAATGCTTTGAGCAACTATCATGGAACTTTGGTGACTGGTTTATATCTATTAATATAAGCTCCCTTTAGTTTTTTAACAAATTTCTGATATGACATTGAGAAGTTATGGAACTAAATTACTCCTGGAAAAAGTGACAGGCATATCATGTGCTCATGGCGCAGCTCTTTATTTATATATTAATTTAGGCTATATGAAGGTAATTTTTGGATTCAGATCCATTTTCTGCAGGAACACTGATCAAGTTTTGCTAGTACAAGTTATTGTAAATTGAGGGCACATGGGGTAATTGTTTTTTGCACTTTAAATGGTTCTATTGATTTCATAACAATTACTTATTTGTCTTCTTTGAGTAGCAGGATTCCTTTAGTTAAAGAATTCAATGAGACATCTAACACCCAACTATGGAATTCTCAAAATTCATTCAAATGTTACAAGTCGATGATCCTGTGACCTTGACAATGCCTTTGTTAATAACCTGTACTTTATGTTATTTGGAATAAATGTTTTAAGTCATTTATAAGGTCTTGCACATTGTTTAATCTTTAAAAATAGAAGGTGGCAAATTATAAAAAAGTAAGTCACAGTGGTCTACTTTTTCTACTTGATTGACCTGATATATATACTAAACCTAAGCATTGTGTCTGACTTTTTTGTCTAGATGTTACAACATTGTGATCAAGAAATGATTGATGACACCCCATTCTTTGCTTGAGATTTAACCATTATAAGCCACACTTTCATGATAATGTTATCAGGATCTGACTTCCCAAGGAGTAAAGCTGTAGATAAATCACATGATGCCATCAGATCAGTTAATTTTAATAGGAAAATATTAATAAATTCTCAAACATATGTGTTGTATTGGAAGATTGAGACTCTGGCAGGACCATTAAATGAATTTATGACACTGGTTTTGTTTTACAAATCAAACTCAGTGAACGACGCTTAAGTTTTAATCAATTATATTTAACATAAAATGTTTTTACAAAGGTATTGGGTACTGATGAAAAGTCTTGTTGCTTTTTGGGCAAAATTAATCCAGTTTGACTACTGCTGGGAGTCTCTGTAGTACTGTAAAGATTTCTATAAGTACAACTAACATGATACCAAAATATCATACTACATGCTCTATTTCCATACAAGTGAAAGTTGATCGATGATTATAAATTGAAGATTTGTACAGGCTTTGGAATTATGAATTTTTAAACTGTCTGAAGTTAATGGTTCATTTTATCACTTCCTATTGGTTCATTGGTCTCACAGGCATTTATAATAATTAGTTTTCTTCTAAATTTAAGAACTTGTTATTTTCAATGTTTGAGAGGACTGTCTGTATCACTTATGATTGTATTGGATAAATACAAACTGACTAAGTCATATTTTTATGCGCCCTCCATGGCGGAGGGTGCATTAAGTGTTACCCTTGTCCATCTGTACGTCCCAAAATTATTTTCTATTCTCTAACTTTAGTTTGCCTCAACCAAATGTTATGAAACTTATACACAATGATATGATTACCACAAAACACAGATCAAGAACAAATTCGGGTTGCGTCACTTTTACCATTCTTGAGTTATGTCCCTTTATAACGTTATATTCAAGCGGGGGCATCATCTGTATCCCAATGACACATTCCATTTATTTTAAAATACTATGGAACATAAAGATACATTGAGTCTAGTACTATATGAATAGCCAAGGTTTGGTACTCACACACCATACTAATATAATTAAATGCAGTTTAAAATTGATGGCAGTGAAATTGTACAAATGCACAGCAAATGCTCTCTCAGGGCTGTTGTAAAAATTTAACATGAATCAAGTAAGATTTATCCTACCATCAGAATTACAACAATTTGGCTGCCATGAAAAATTATACAAATATACAGAAAAGGCATAATTTGTTATTATTAGATTATCACCTGTGTAATTTGTGTTATATCCTTACAATGATAGCTCTGAACCCTTACATAATAGAGACCATCAGTTCAGAGACATTTGACCATCTGTTTACCTATATTTATACAGACAGATTTGTTCATGTTACATGTGTTATTGCAATTAATAAATATATATATATTACACTGAAAAGTGAACATTACAGTTTCTCTTACCTGTAGGTAACCATCAGGCCATTGATCTACATTTATATAATACTTATATAACTCAGGTCATCTTCATTAAGTTGGAGGTGGCCTCAAGGCCGAGTGGTCTTAGTAGTTCTTTTACTGTATCACTAGCCTGTCAACACCGAGGTTGCAACTCCAACCTTAATGACTAGGATTGTCAGTTTTCCTGCCTCAGTTTGGTGGTTCTCTCCGGCACTCCAGGCCTTCCTCCACCAATAAAAACTGACCCCCACAATATAGCCTATAGTTATAAAAGTGGCGTTTAACACCATCAATCAATCAATCATTAAGATGGAAAACATGTGATAATATTAATGTTTAAATGTAATATATGAAATGAACTCAGATGAGCCTGTAGTTCATTAGTTATCTGGGTAATTGTTTTGTTATAAATTAGGCCTTTAGTTTTCTGGTTTGAATTGTTTCACATTTTTCATATCAGGCCTTTTATAGCTGACTATACGGTATGGGTTTTTCTCATTTTTGAAGACTGTACTATTGCCTATAATTACTTCCATCCACTTCATGTGAACTCTGGTGGATAGTTGTCTCATTGGTAAGTTTATTATCATACCACATCTCCTTATTTTTATATAAGTTGTTTACTTCTTTGTCCTCAGTGGTCTTAATGGATAGTCATTGGCATTTATATTATCCCACCTCATTATTATGATATAAAAATGAACAAAAAGTGATCATTACAGTTAGTTATGATTCACAGACTCAGACTAATTAAAGACCATTGAATTGAGACAGAATCTATAGGAAAACACGGGAATTAACCACGTCTTTATAAGCAAGACACTGTGTACTTCTATGGTAATAATAAGGAATCTTATGAGAAACATATTATTAAACCTAGGGAATGCATGCAGTCATACTCTTATATATATATATATATTGATTGTAAGAAAATAAGTGATTAACTGTTGTCAAATCTGGTTATATAATTTCACTGAGGTGTCAGCAAGAAAAAAAAAACTGCTTTGGAAAACAAAGTAGAAAAGTTAATTTCAGGACAGATTACATTGGTAACAACATTGAATAGTTCTATAACCTTTGTTTTTCTTCCTTTCTTAATTACTTTCATCATGTTGTTGGATTTCTTGCTGGCTTATTTTTCTAGTGTGTGGTTTTAAAATGTGTCCTTTTTATTCAGACATGATGGATGACAGCATGCAGATAGTGCTAGCTGTTGTTAGTTCCATAGCTTCTGTATTCATCCTGCTGCTGGCTGTATTTGTGTGTGCCTGTTGCTGGCAAAAGAAACGTAGCAGTGATGAGGAACAAGTAGATAAACTGGTACAGAAGTATGCACCACAGGACACGGATACCAGGCAGCTTGGGAAGAGGTCATGGGAAGATAAGGATTCCACGGTGGGGTTTCAGTCTGGTTCCCCTATGTACAGAAGGAAAACTATCAAGTAAGTAGTATGAAACAACACAAATTAAAATAAAAACCAGTTATTCCTGATTATTACATTGGTTATAATGAAATACTGTCAATGACTGTGATTTCCAAGTGAAATAAACACTGATAATAAACATACAGCAATGGGTGTTGTCAAGTCATTGTCAATGACATTATTTCAAAACAAATTGTGATTGCATAGAATAAGATATCGTTCCTTGTAGTTATTCTTTCATTCTCATTTAAAAGCCCCTTAGGTCAATGTAATAAAAAGAATAACTAATCGAAGAATTTAAATATTGAAAATATTCAACTCATGATGAAACAAAACTGATAATTAACTCATTCTCTAAACCAAATTCTAAATTAAAGGGGCATTAGCTACAAGATATAAAAAAATTAAAACATTGATTTTTTTTGGTTCAATCTTTTATGAAAGTGAAATAGTGAAATAATAATTAGCTTTTAGCAGCCAGTTTGGTTCAATTTGATCAAAATCAGCTGAGAAACATCGCTGATGAATTATTCACTTGCAAGTGAATAATTCTACCTCATTGAATCCGTATTCATGTGACCTATTTAACCCCTTAGCTAGAGATAGATTATGCATGAACTAGGCGTGTACGTTCAGCTATCAAAAGAAAAGAATGTCAACATTGCAAGTGAAACATTAGGGTAAACCATTTGGTTGACTGATTCAATCCATAAACACTCATTCTCATACAGGTAAAACAATGATTAACATATTTGTTAGACCTATAATATGAAATCAAACAGACCTGGAAAAATCCAACTGCATGTGTTTGCTATCTATTTATATCTATATTTATGTTTATATGACTGTCGGCAGTCTTCGGTGGTCACCTTGATGTTTAATTAGATGGCATCTAGACTAAAATATACATGAAATGGGCCAGCCAGCTGAAGGATGCCTCCGGGTGTGGGAGTTTCTCGCTGCATTGAAGACCCATTGGTGGCCTTCGGCTGTTGTCTGCTATATAGTCGGGTTGTTGTCTCTTTGACACATTCCCCATTTCCATTCTCAATTTTATTTATACATATTATCAAGTCCATACATTGTTAATTGTTCATTTTAGACTTTTTTGTAAGTTGGATATACATTTTAGTAGGTTATAAATCTAATATGAGAATTTGAGTCAAATCGGTGAACATGAATTTGACAGCTAATGCCCCTTTAATGTGTTTTTCTGTCACTTGTTGAATATTTTTAGATGTCTGAATTCTTGGATTAGTTATTCAATGATTATTATAACACTGGTGGAGGAGCTGAAAGATTTCGTGAAAATAAGAGTTAATAGATTCTATAACAGATATGTAGGTTTACTATTTTTTACAACAGTATTTTCCTGTGTGGTTTGTATAGTTTTAGATGTGTTTTGGTTAATTTTGTTGTTGGATTGCTTTTTCATTGGTGTTTTAACCAACATCTACTGTTATTCATATTTAATGGAAGGTTTGAGTCCAGTATTTCTTAAAGAAAACTAATAACAATGGTTGGTATTAGAAAAGTTGTTTATTGGTATGGTCAGTTGTAAAAGAGATAGGAACAAGGATAGATAAAAGTTATCATTGATGACTGCGATGATTTAGGTGGTAATGGTCAGTATCTAATATTTACACATCACTTCAACCTATGTTACCATTATCATGATTATGATAGGGGTTGGAGACTTTATTCTGGTCAGAAGGAGAATGATGGGTGCCCTTGATAGAATAGGTCATGAACATACTGTAGGTCTGTGAGACACAGTCATCTTATTAAAAATTGGTCAGCTGTTGGAGACAGGAACAAAATAGTGCTAAATCTGATAGAACAAGCATCTATTAAAAAAACCTTAAATAAAATTTATTTAATGATTACAGCTGAATTATTCAAAGTTATTAGTGTTGCATTTAGTGTTCTTAAGTGATACAATTTCTATACGTATATATGTTACTCCTGTGGTTTTTCATTGTAATTCAAGAGTTATTTAAGAAATAGAATTCTTACTGAGTACCTATTATATAGCTTAAACATAATATTTATTCAGATTTTATTTACCAGATTAACACTTTTTTGGGAATTTAATGTTTCAAAACATTGAGGCTTTTGTTTAATTTTGAGATAAACTGATAGCTTCATCATGTTTTGTAAATAAATCTTCAAAACATGAGTTACTCAGAGTTTAAACTGTACAAATAAATCTACAAAACATGAGTTACTCAGAGTTTAAATTGTACAAATAAATCTACAAAACATGAGTTACTCAGAGTTTAAACTGTACAAATAAATCTACAAAACATGAGTTACTCAGAATTTAAACTGTACAAATAAATCTACAAAACATGAGTTACTCAGAGTTTAAATTGTACAAATAAATCTACAAAACATGAGTTACTCAGAGTTTAAATCTACAAAACATGAGTTACTCGGAGTTTAAATTGTACAAATAAATCTACAAAACATGAGTTACTCAGAGTTAAACTGTACAAATAAATCTATAAAACATGAGTTACTCAGAGTTTAAATCTACAAAACATGAGTTACTCAGAGTTTAAATTGTACAAATAAATCTACAAAACAGGAGTTACTCAGAGTTTGAATTGTACAAATAAATCTACAAAACAAGAGTTACTCAGAGTTTAAACTATAAAAATGCATAAGGTCAAAAATTTACTTGTTTATAGAAAATGGTTTTATGACTACACACTGCGGGCTCACCATGAATTTGTAAAATGGAAAAAATATATGGTTAACACTTAACACCAAACATTTTGGACAGTGCATGGGTCAACAAGAGAGAACATTTATTTGATCTGATATTGTTTGCATTGAGTAACAACAATTTAAGGTGAATGAAGTAAGAAATTACATATATCAGTTATCTTTACCAGAATAATAGTGCTAGTTTTTGCTCTTCATTATTCTGGTTTACATCTATCTGTCCATGTTTTTCTAGTCTGTCCTTCGATTCCATCCTATAAAATGTATGTCACATTTTCCCCAGGTACTAAAAGTCAGACCTTCCTGAAATTTGGTATTGAGCTTCATGAGATTGATGTTATACTCTTAAATGCATTATCCCACATCAATAACAATGGACTGTTTACAGAATACTTATATATCCTTAAATACAAATTTCTGAGTAACTTAACCCCAATCATGGATATCTATAGTTTTGATTCAACCTTCATGTGAGCATGCTATTCTGTGAAGTGTCTTTACATCTATCATATCAATATATATACTATTAAGAAAATGTTCATCTTCATACTATTTGATAAAAGGTGTGTTAGAAATGCTGGTTGAAGCTTTTAGCTGTTCAATAATTCACCAAAGAAGTCAATGAAAGGTACTGTTTATAGACGAGTGTATAGAATCCATAAGTTTCATGATAAATTTATCAAGATAGCTTGCTGAATCAGTTTACTTGATCATGTAATTAACTTTATAAAGGTAAATATCTGTTTTAATAACTTTGAACATGAAATAGTTAGGATGGCTGTGACAAAAATCTCTTATCAGGAAATATTGGCAGGTACAGACTTTATATAGTCAATAGTTGTAAATTGTATATCCTTTAATCACTGTGTTATATTCCAAATTAGAAAATGCAAGTGCAATGAAAACTTCCTAGGATAAATTATATATGACTGTTGATAAGGAAACAAGGACAGCTAACGCACTGATCAATTGTAAATGCATAATCTAAAATAAACAAATTACTAAATAAAGCAAAAAAATCCCATTTTTATATTTGTCTTGCAAATAAAGCATTTAGTTTTGATATGTTCATTGAAAACCTTATGTATAGGTGATAGACTTAAGGGAATCAGATGGTGTTTAATTTTATTTCGTGTATTTGAATAAACAAAAAATTTGTTTTGCTTTTAATGTAAACAAAGTAAATACTTCATTGTTATATTAAATGGAAAGTGGTGAAGTTAAAGCTAGTAACTTAAGCTGGTGAAAGTTTGAAATACAAGATGACATTAGATTTAATTTGTGTAAATATTGAAATATAATGGTTTTTTGTCACACTTGTGTTTTCATATAGAACATTTAAATATGAAAATGAAATATTGAATTTCTGATATTAGGGTACTCATTTGAACTTTTTAAAAACAGAATTTAATCATTGACAAAACTATCGATACTGGCTTGCATGATCTAGTTTGTATGTAGGTTTCTGTTCACATTGGTGATTTAGTGAAAAAGTTAAGAAAAACAAAAATAATTCTTCATTTGGGAATAAGATATTGAAAAGATTTCCTTTTGAACCCCTTCTGTTAACACCATACATGAAGGGTGTTTTAAAAGAAGTGTTGCCAAATTATTACAAAGACATTGCATTAATGGCTGCAAAATTTCTATTTAAAATTTGATCTAGTCAAAATACTTATTTGCACAATATACTGCAATTATGGGAGATAACCCTTGAAAATCTTGATACATGAAGGGTGTATTTATTTACAAACTCCTACGTCCATTTAAATCAGATTTTATGACAAATGAAGATTTTTCAAGTGTTTATATATACACATCTGTTATTGTTCAAATTTGTAAGGATATGGTTGAAGTTTGTTTTATCTATTAAGATTAAAGTAGGAATTATTAAGATTTTATTTACATTGAAATTTATCCTAAGAAGCATCAGTTCTTATATCAAATTATTAAAGTTAGGTGTTTTAATTGCTACAAGATTGGATACTAAAACAAATCTGTATCTGTATATGTATTTACAAATAATTGAACTTTCAAGTGAAATTTTAACCTGGGAGTTCCTCTTCACACATCAGGGTTGATCCTACTTTGATATCAAGTTAGCCTTTGTATAGAAACCAAAAAATGTTTTAGTAATAAACATGATATAAGGTTATAATATATTGCCATTAAAAAGTCATATGCTTTATGTACTTTACTAAGGTCTTAGGGTAAGTGGGATTAAGAAGTCAAGTTTAATAGGTATCAATGAATGGATTTTTGACTTCTTGTGAAATGGATAAAGAATT